GTGCTATATATATATATATATATATTTTTTTTTAAATAATAAAAAAAAACAAAAAAAAAAACACCTTGAATTTCAGGCAGGGCGCGGGGTTCCGTTGGCAGGGCGCAGCGCCCCGCCAAGACAATGGAAGGGGAAACACTGAGGGGTGATGGTCGGGGTAGTGTTGGGTCTAGAGAAGATGACTTACGTACACGCATGGCCTTTATATCTCGTCTGATAAGCATTTGGGCTCTGGCGTGTCAGCAATGTTATTTGATATTTAAACTTTAGATCACCTACTGAATTTAAGGAGCATTGGATGCAGTACGTCAACCCATAATGTGAATATGGCTGATCTGAGTTTAGGGATCCTGGCTGAAGAAACGCAGGATAGATCGCTCAGAGTCAAACTTGAAAAACAGGAAAACCAAGGAAAAATAAATGAATCAGTCACTCCGTGGAAGCCCTGTGAGCCAAAAGGAGTGGGATTGAGTTGTGTTGGCATTGTTGTTCCCAAATGAAAAGCTCTGAAAGATGAGAAGAGACTGAAGAGACATGTTTCTGTAATTGTATTTAAGCTGTTTGGACTGTTGGCATTCAAACTCAGTCTACACCCTAGTTCTGTTAATGTTGGAACAGTGCCATAAATTATTTTTGGCTTGTGAAACATAGTACGTTTGTTTGTATCTCATGGGCGGATATTGTTTGGCTGCTATGGACTCTAATGCATCTGTAATGAGATGTATTAACCTTTTACGAAAATATCCAAGAAATGACTATTCTGTTCACAAACATATCACGTCAACTCCCCATTAAAACACGATTGCTAGAAGTCCCCGATCACGTTACAGGAACATGGATATTTTTAAAACATGAATGTAGCAGACTGTAACCGATAATAGAAACTGCAGAGAGATTGTTACATGGTTTCTCTCAGACACAGGCTTCAATTGTGGTAGTGTTTTGTTTTGCTTCCTCTTTTCTCATCCAGTGATTTTTTGTTTGGGGTGCAGTCAGGGGTCAAGGTACCTCAGACAGATATTCAATGCAGGACTGGCAGCTTAACACCAACATTAAAGCACCACACAACTGTTCTGCTCCGATGTCCAGTTTTACAAATGATCCTTTTATTTTTTTGTGGACATTCTGCTATGTGTGTTAAAAATATCTGTGCATCCATTTTGACCTTGTCTTTACTTCCCGCCTCTTTCCTGCGTCTCTGTAGCAGCTGCTACCTGGTAAGAAGTTCTGGGAGACGGATGACTCTGGGAAGGATGGACCAAAAGGGATCTTTCTGGACCAGTGGAGGGACAGTGCATGGGGGGCCTCAGGTATCCAACAGTCTGGCTTATGTTTGATACAGTGGCTGTGATAACGCAGCAAGAAGCATCAAGAAACCACCAGAACAACCCCCATCTTGTTTTAGAAAACATATATTTGGATTCCTGTCAGATTCACAAGCGGATGTCAAAGTTGAATCACACTAATGTGGCCATCAGACTGTTAAACTCAGGCACTGGCACTTGACTTTTAGTTTTTTATTTGAAATATTACTTTAATTATTATGTTTATATGTCTTATGTTATCTTGTATTGCACATTCTTATTACTTATAATATATTGTATTTTATTTTATTCATTCTATGATGGAGTTACTGTCACGAAAGCCAATTTCCCCCTGGGATTATTAAAGAATTTCATATTCTGATTTTCTTCAGATGATTAAGATTTGATATTTCTTATAAAGTTAATCGTTATTTCTGGATGAGCACTAAAGAGATATCTCTGAAATTCTGAAACAGACTGGCTTCCCAATGTTTAAGAAAACTAGTCTTGTTCATATTTATGTTTTTGGACAGCTTTTGAAGAGCCACATAGAAATACAGCATAACAGACTACTACAAAATATTACATAACATCATTTTTTTTAGGAAGCCTTAATTAAACAACTTAGATGCACCTAATGCAGCTGTGGGCAAGAAAAGCAATTACAAAAATTGACTGAAAATTATAACAGTTAAAAGAAATTCAAGACCCCGGGGGACTATAACCGATCAATGGGATTATAATAACACTGACTATTAAAATCCAATTAAAGACATCCAGTAAAATAAACTTACATCACAAGTTATATATACTCATATGCAGTGCTTGTACACAGAGCTGTTGGGTTACTGATGTCACAATCTAAAGAAAAATCTGATGTGAGGAAATATAGACTTTCTCAGCAAATATAGTGATTTATTGGGTGGGTAACATTTGCTACAGTTAAAGTGGAAAATGGTGCTGTGTGATAACTTTAAAACATATTTGTAATTTAAATGAAACAGAACACCTTTAAATATATTTAGGGATGTAACGTTCATTCATTTAAAAATATTTTTTTGTTATTGACTAATCTGCAGATTATTTGACAGAACAGAAAAGGGTGACAAATGATTATCTTAATTACGCAATCTTGTCTGTCTTATTTCAGTCCAAATAACACAAACATAAAGTTTATTAAGGACTAAAACTGGGAAAATAAGTACATCTCCATATTTGAGATGCCTATCAACCAATTATTGCTGCCTGCTGATGATCTTGTTAATAATGCCTATGTGTTGGAAGCCATCACTTTCGTGGTTTATAAGTCTATGAAGTTGCTTTCCCCCGTGCATCAATTTGATTTAACAGTCCCCAATCCTCATGTTAGATCACTCCGTGTCTCAACCAATCATGGTGTCCCGTCATCCAGGGCAAGGTTTCCATGGCGGTGGTGAAGTCGGGGTGGGCTCCGTGATGTCCCCGCGCTCTGAGAGTGGGGGGCTGGGAGTCAGCATGGTGGAGTACGTCCTCTCCTCCTCACCCGCTGACAAACTGGACTCCTGTCTCCGAAAAGGACCCTATGTAAGTCTTCGAGTGTGTTCTCTAATAAACATTATCATCTCCTATAATCTATTTTCTTTCTCTTCCAGGTCACTATTTATCTAATCTTAACAATTTAGACTTCAGAATTACACCTTGTCAGACCCTTCTGTCATTTTCTTTTTACTGTCTGCCCTCTGTCAGATTTAAAATAAGAACAGATCTTTCCCCACGTCCATGTAGCTCTGTCCTTCCCACTCCTTCCTTTTGTGTGTTTGCCATCTGCCGCTGCCAGATAATTTGCACCTCTATAATTCAGTTTTAATCACTTTTACTTCTTGTCTCTCTCCATCACGCAGGGGCAGAGGGATGTAGAGGTGGAAGAGGAGAAAAGGGAGAAGCCAAAAGCAACATTTGAAGCAGAGAAACTGAAAGAACTGACAGAAGTTGAAGTTGATGTCATCAACGACGTCATCAACCCCAACGGGATGCCCGTGCAGAACGGCCTGGACGTCAACGTCAAAGAGTTTTGGTACGACTCAGCGTCACCCAGGCACACACACAACTTGAAATAGCTCTTGTCCTACAAATAGCCTTTTACATGTAACTTAACTCCCCTTATCCCACCCCTGCAGTCGTCCCCAAGGCAACATGCCGGTCCCTGGTCCTGAGGGAGACCATCTCGGAGGCCCCGGGGGTGTAGGGGCCGATGGCATGAACCAGATGGGAGGTGGAGGAGGCCCCAAGCCCCAGGAGGACTTCTCTGGCGTGGAACAAGGGGGCGTCAGCATGGACCAAATGGAGTCAGTGATGGAGCCGCTTCAGTTTGACTACAACTCCCAGATGCCCATGGACTCCCAACCCACCGTGGGCTTATTTGACTACGCCAGCCAGCAGCAGGTGAGAGTAACACGCAGAGAGTAGAGTATAACATGGTTAATCAACTCAGTGGAGCTTGCAGGGTGACAAGTGTGTTAGTTAAAGAGTATTCAGGTTGATTTTTAAATTAAAGGATTTAAAAGTATAGCCATTCCTACATAGTTGTTTAAAAACTAAACTTTTCTAGAAAACTAAACAAACTCCAAAAAAGTACTTGTGAAACAAATTTAGAAAAGTCAAAATTAAATTAAGTTTAACAAATGTAAAATTCTGAACTTTTATAACCTTGGTATACAAATATTTCTCATTAACTCTGCATGAGACTAAAATGGGGTTCACCTGTTGTTGTGTGTAATGTATGTGTGTTGGTTAAGAGAAAAAGGTGCTTGGTATTTTTATTATTGTTACTATCAGGGAATGTGCAACCAAACCCTGGTCCACCCAGTAGTAGCAGTAGTCAGATAGCTACTCCTGCTGATTTTATTTCTAGGTCTGGGTTGGAATTAATTCACTTAAATGTGCGCAGTCTGTTACCTAAATTAGATTTTGTCCGTATTTGGGCAAGCTCGACTGATGCTGATGTCATTGTCTTATCAGAAACGTGGCTAGATAAATCCATTTTGGCCTCTGACATTTACATAAATGGTTATAGTGTATATCGCACCGACCGTCCTAAAAAAGTTGGTGGCGTTGCCATTTATGTGAAAAATAAGTTTTGTGTAACCAAGATGGTTTCCAAATCTATTAGTAAACAACTAGAATTTTTAGCCGTGAATATCGAAGTAACAAAGGGTCAACAGGTCATGGTGGTGGGCTACTACAGACTCCCCTCAGCTGACAAGGACTCTTTATCTTCATTGGCAAAACTTTTATCTCAACTTGCCTACAAGGAAATAGTGCTGCTTGGTGATTTTAATTGGGACTGGTTAACTTCTGTGTCAGAGGATTTTAAAAACCTGTGTACCTCTTTGAATATTACTCAGATTATAGATAGTCCTACTCGCCGCCAAATATTAAAGTTCCCCAAATAAATCCTCCTTAATTGATCTCATTTTTAACAAATGTTCCACATAGAATACTCTTCTGTTGGAGTATTTGGCTAATGATGTGAATGACCACTGTGTTGCATAGCCCACAATTAGGGACACTAGTCCAAAAGGTTAAACCTCGTATTCATCCTACAAAAAGGACAAAAAAACACTTTGTGCGAGCCAGAGGTTTTGTACAATGACTGTTTGATTTTGATTGCGGTTAAATCGATCTGTGTGCTGCATATAGAACTGCATTGCGTCATATTTTTATCTTGGTTTTATGGAAATTATAGGATAGACATGCACTCTGCTTAAAATAAAAGTTGAGCTGAAGGGGGACGAGAAAATCCGTTGGTTTTTCTGACTGAACTGTCCAGTCTCCTTTCATGAGAGAAACAGATGCCTGCGGCAAAGGCTAGGAAATTCAGGCTCTGAGAGGTTAGAATGGCCTACGCCTTTAGGCAGTCAAGCTACTATTTGTCAGTTTTACCACGAAAATGTAAATAATTCCTTAGGAAATTTTTTTGAAGCCATAAAATACGATTTCCACTTGCTGAATATCCCAAATGAGCTACCTCTGTGCCCTCACCACGTATTCTGGCATTATATCAGGACAGGGCTGACTATGCTAAATTGCTTCTTAATAAGCATTTTGTTGTCTTGTGTGCCTACTCTGTTTGATTCTGTCAGCTGGACTGTGCCTTCTGCTTCTGGTGCTGAACACTCCAATCCTGACTCTGAACAATGTGCGTCTGGAAAACCCTTCAGTTTTACTCCTTTTACTGTGGTGGTTGTTCATGAAGCATTATCCAAGTTAGATCCTAGGAAACGGCTGGCACCGGACAACGTAGAACCCTTCTTTTAAAGACTAGCTGCCAATTTTATTGCTCCATCTCTTACTTCTCTTTTTTACATCTCCCTCAGACAAATACAATTCCAAATTATGGAAGTTCTGCTTATGTCTTGCTTTACTGAAAGGAGGGGAGGCAACTATTTTAGATAACTATAGGCAATCTCTAAATTGTCCAGTTCTGGCTTAAAGTACTCGAACGACTAGTGAGTGAGCAAGTAAGGATTTTTATGTAAAAATGATATCCTGTCAAACATCAGTCAGGCTTCAGAAGAAACAGTAAGCACCACACTGCACAATGAAAGTGGTGAATGACATTCTAGTATTTGAGATAGATAAAAGCAGAGTTGTGCCCGCTCTGTTTATTGACCTTTCCAAAGCGTGTTGACCCACCGTTGAGATCACATCTTAAAGCAGATGGCTACTCCAGTATTGGCATATCCAGCCATGCAGTGGGTGGTTTGTGAACTACCTCTTCTGAAAGGTCCCAATGTTTTCATTTTGATGGGCTGTCTTCTGAGTGGGTAAACATTTCTAATGGTGTACCACAAGGTTCTGTTTTAGGTCACTTTATTCTCCATTATATATCATGCACGTAACCTCTTATTGATGGAAGGAGGTGGTGATAACTTTGTTGCGGGGGTTTGTGGTGCTGTCTGGGAGGTGAGAGTCGAGAAGGGTCGTGCATAGGTTTCTACATGTTTGTTGGATGCTGATTGGAGTTACGCGTGGATGGTTAGTGTGTCAGGACTATATCTCGTCTCCTGATTAGACAGGATTGGGCAGTTGTTAAACATATTACTGGTGCTGTGGCTTTCGTTTATGAACGAATCTGATCGCAGACTTATTCTGAGATAACTTACAATTGTTGGTGCTTACCTTTATAA